TTGTCTGAGGAAAAACAGCTGGCCGAAGATGTCCAGTTTACCGAAAACCATTCGTTAAATGTCTTGAAACTTTTCTCTAAAAAAATACGAACTCACAGAAAGACGCAGCATCCCATCCTCCGAGACGCTCTCGGAAATCCCATAGTTGATGCCCAGTTAACCGCTGATAGCTTCAATGATTTCTTTCCAAAACGTTCATCGAAGACTCGACCACTCCGCTTCCGACCATCCAGGTACTGCTTGGGGCAGTCCTAGAAACTATAACTTTCGCCCTGTGAGCTGTGACTGTTGCGATTCGGCGTTTTTGTCAATCTCACAGTCCAGGACCTGATGGTGTCCCAGAAGGCATTTTAAAAGCCGAAGCAAACACGATCTTCCCATCCCTTTTATGCAAGATATTTAATCTTGCACTTGAAACTGAAACCTATCCTACCTTGTGGAAGGAATCACACATTTGCCCATTCCTAAGCACGGCCAATATACGTCATTTGATGAATTTCGGCCAACAAATACCCTCCCTGTATTTTCGAAGATCTTAAAGACGTTGATCAAGGATAAGCTGACGCGTCACTTAACAGTGAATAACCTACTGTGTGCTGCTCAGCATGGATTCCTCAAAGCTCGATCTTGTGACACCTGTCAGCTCTCTTTCTTTGACTATGTTCTCCAATCTAGGGACAATGGTTTTGCTCTTTACACTGTATATTTCGATTTCACTAAGGCTTTTGATCGTATTGACCATGCTCTTCTTCTCTTGAAACTGTCCTATCTCGGAATAGGTGGCAAACTTTTGAATTTTATATCCTCTTACCTGGGCACTCGTACACGAGTTAAGATTTCCAATACTTTCTTCAACCCCACACGTGTGAGGAGTGGAGTCATTCAGGGTAGTGTACTCGGCCCGCTTTTATTTTGCCTTTTCGTTAATAATGTACCCGATTTATTTCAGATTGGTAAGCTCAGTCATGGTGGTTGGCGACGACCGCCAACCTCAACTAAGTATTGAAGGTCACGCCACAAATGTGCCCAGGGTTATAAAGGATCTGGGCATATCATACTGCAAGAGTCTCAATCTCTCGGAGCACTGTGCCTTGATAGTCTCCAACGCACGCAGAACGACCGGGTTTATCCTCCGAAACTTTAAAACTAGGGACATCAGAATGCGCCTTCACAATATGTACGTTAGACATGGTCTGGAATACTGTTAGTTTTTATTTAGCCTCATGCGTGCTACTGAGCGGAAGAAAATAGAATCTGTTCAACACTTTTTTACCAAGAGAATTTTAACCCCGGAACACCGACCTTTGTCTTACCAAGAACGCTGCTGGCTTTCAGGCCTCGATCCTTTATGGTTCCGTAGATTAAAAAAGGGACTATTTTTGCTATTTAAACTCTTATATAATCACACATTTAACCCACTCACTTCTTTAAGACATCATATCCACCCACGACTTAACAGTCACCGTGAGGTCTTCTTATTTCTGCCTCTGACACGTACTGTTAAATATCGTCGGTTCTATTCTGTAAATGCAATTGCTATTTGGAATAAACTACCAATGAGTGTGAAAACTCTGCAAAATTATCCTTTATTTAAGAGAACTATTATTCGATTTTTGCATTGAGAGAAGCTTCCTCAAATTTTGGGTCCCGAATCCACTGATCGACTCTACCGTAGCGATGGCGTTTGTGGTCTCTGAACACTATGGCCGTCTCATCAGCTGTTCTTCAACGCCTCTTCTTTGACTATCCCAAACTTCATGAAAGGAATTGACGTCCGATAATCTCCGATACCGTGCAACCACCTCCCCCTCCTTCTCGACGGTCGAAAATCTACCGCCAGCAGTTTTTTTTCTCCCGAACCCTCCAAACCATAAAAACCACCATCAACTATATTTTTATTCTTCAGTAGTTTTTTTTCACTGCTGGTCGGATTTGTGTTTTATCGCTTCCCTTGACAATGCCTGTAAACTGGCATTTAATAAATTAAACTAAATTAAGTACCATAAGAAACCCGTTTTGAATTGGTTTCTAAATCCACTGCTATCACTCCTCCCCCATAGCGACAATGTTCGCGGTTTTTGATGTCTTCTCCCGCATTCCGACCTTATGCGGTTTGTCGACGCTCACGGCGGAACCCTCAGTATTCGCCGTCTACTAGTAGTTTGGTCGTACCTCCCTTCCCCACTGCTCGGCTGAGCTCGAAGCGTGATGTGGCCGATCGCATCTGGGTTCCTCTCGTCTGGCCTCTTTGACGCAAATAGTCTCATGCGGCGTATCAATCCGGCCCAGACGATCTCAATTGTGAATCCCGTATACAATTCCACATTCAAGGCAGTCCTGTCTGACCCGCATACGTACCCTTCAAGGCTGAGATTTATTGTTACCCTCACGAAGACCGACAACATTCCGTTATATACCACCACCTACAGGCCAGTCCTGCCCGCTTTTTTCTGTCATTATTATTATTGAGAGATTTTTTCTCCCGTAAAATTAATACAGTCATTTTTAACTTTTTGTAAGGAGTTTTTTTTCACCCCTCAATCATTATGTTTCTCAATGGACTTCTAATTCAGAAACTATGAATTGCATTTTTAAAGATTCGGCCTACCTCATCCAAAACTCGCATGTAAATTTATTTTAACTTGCTTTGATGGGACCCCGAAGGGTCTTTAATAAAATATTATCTATCTATCTATATGGCGAATGCAGAAGGCTTCTCTAAGAGCGTCGATGGAGCGCATTCTGCGAGGGCACGATGTATGAAGTGAAAAATTGAAAAAATTAACATTTCTGGTGAGGGATCATACGAAGCTTTGTCAGTGTCACCTAGAAAGTTGTCCGGGAAGGATCAGGAAAATATAAGTTTAATCGATTCAGTATCCAGATAAAAGCGTAGCATTCTCTTTGATGTGTGTAGATTATCTGGAGATCTTATATTTATTAGAAAATTATTCCAGAGAAAAGTATATCTAGAAACAAAAAAAGAGAGCGCTTAGAGGTGGAGGAAGCTGCAGGAGGTATAATCAAGGAAGAGCTACGAAAATTGTATGGGCGACTACTAATGGTAAGTGCTGAAATCCGGGGAAAATTTGAACTATGGTTAATGCGAAAGAGGAGACAGAAGCCTACTTCTAGTCTTCGAACTTATAAAAAGTTTAGGTTAGTTTGCTGGCATCTATCTGAGTAGGAGATATTGGGATGTTCCTTATCTATCAGTTTTTTTAGAAAAACGTCTTTTGACATTTTCTATTTTTAAACTACTAGCCTCGCTCATCAGAACAAAGAATGGACAACAACACTCGAGAATGCGAAGTTCAAGCATGCGATAGCGCCTTAATTTAATTTCAGGAAGATAGAATTTGTAAGAAATAAAGCCACAAATCTGGGCAGCTCTGGCCGTAATTCTGTCAGCGTGTGGCCAGAGATCAAGATTATTAGTGTTGCTTAAACCTAAATCCTTGATGGCGGTACATCCAGTCATAGGTGTGCCTTGAGAGACCACTGGTTGGGGTAGCCTCCCAAGTCCAAAACACATATAGCGACATTTAGACGGAGAGAATTCCATTAGCCATTTCGAGCTCCAAGCTGAGAGAGTAAGCAAGTCAGCATGGATTTGCTCCAGGCAATGAAGGCTCGTAGATTTTTTGAAAGAATATACACATTTAAGACCATTGGCATAAATAAATAATTGATAATGTTTAACTGCTGCTGAAATATCATTTATGTAAAGCAAGAACAAAAGAGGACCTAAAAGGGTGCCTTGTAGGACACCGCTTACAATAGGATTTTCACTGGAAAGTGAAGATCCCACCAAAACCTTTTGTTTACGATTAGACAGGTATGACCTGAGAAAGTCTATTAGTGGACTGCGAATTCCTATAGCTTCCAATTTAATCAAGAGTCTTTTATGTGGCACTTTATCAAAGGCTTTACTAAGATCAAAATAAATAACGACAACAGATAGATGGTCATTACGAAGAGGGGTAAGTAGATTGAGAAACGACAAATGACATTTTTCACATGAACCATCTGGTAAAAAACCATGTTGGGAAGGGCTAATAACTTGATTGGCTATGCAAAAGTCGGTAATTTCTTAGGCGAGAATTTTTTCAAAGGTTTTAGTGAGCGAAGGTGTTTTATGGACACCTCGATAGTTCTGAACGTCAGAACGACAGCCAGACATAAATACTGGAATAACAATAGAAGTTTTCCAATAGACAGGAGAGAAGCCACTTACGAGGAGCACTGAAAAGAGTTTGCTAAGCACAGGAGGAAAATCTCTTAGTTGTTTTATAAGAGAGTTTGGGATATTGTTCGTGCCTACTGAGTGAGAGTTAGGAAGATAGGTTATCAGTTTTTGAATAGTTTCAGGAGAAGAATTTATGATGCTGAGAGATGCATCAGACAACGGAGGAATTAAATGGATTGAGTCAGTTTCAATGGTGAAATGTTTGGCAAAGAATGAATTTGTACTTTTACTTTGCCTGACAGCGTTAGGGATCGTTGACCAAAAGTTTTAATAAAGAGTTTGATGACTTACGGTCAGTCACGGTGGTTGGAGTTAGACTGATCTCCGCACCAGTATCCACGAGGAAATTACGACAGGAAGTTCTGTCATAGATGTGGAGTAAGCATCTGGAAGAGGATGTGCTGACCACGTTCGTCGCCTTTACTGGTCGGCAGGGGAGTTTTCCAACGCATGTGTCTTGTCCCTGCACGGAGATTGACAGCGATGGGCGTCAGAACCATAATTATGATGATACCAACGGAAACCATCAACTACAGGTTGGTTTGGAGTAGGAGATCTCGGGCGGCGAGTAAATGCAGGACTACGACTTTATAGACACGAGTTGCTCGGAGCTGGGAAACGTCAAGAGTGGGGCATCCAGGCTTTTGATGATATCCTCGATTGCGAGCGCAATTTAGCTTTGACTAGCGACGTTTACCGTAACAGGAGGCTAGTATTACTCAAATACACGGTCAGCAGTTTCTGCGAACATCTAAGCAGTCGAAGAAGGAATGTTAGGCGCAAGGATGGCTTGCACAGAAGGAGGCAACCGTTGAAGAAAAAGTTGCTTGAACATGGTGGCATCCAGCTTTTGTCCGTCTGCCAACTGCTCCAAACGCTTAAGAAGCTGCGTAGGCTTCCTGTCACCGAGGTCCTCCTCAGAAATAAAACGTTTCAGACGTTTTTGCGTTGACAAGGAAATTCGGGAAATGAGATCTTCCTTTAGGGCAGTATAAGGGGCTTTTGTGGGCTGGAAATCTATGATGTCGCGGAGGTCGGTGGCGATTTCCATTGCGAATACTGCCACAACATAGTGAAATTTCGTATCCTCTCGTGTAATTTGACGGAGGGCGAAACGGGACTCTACACTGCGCAGCCGCAATGCGACGTCATCAAGCCATACGGCTGGCCGGTTAAAGGTGCGAATGCCGGCTATCGGCTGGCTATTAGAATCGTTGGACATAATAAGCCGATGTCGGTCAGAGGTCAGATAAATGGGATATATGACTGGCACGTTGACACTGAGATTGAAGGGTAGCACTCGTATTGAATAAAAGTGTGAGACAGCGTGAACATCAAATAAGGGCTAGATGAATAATCTGATCAATAAAAAGTAGAGTGAGGATTAATCCGAATGGAAATAGTCATTCACAGAAATGAAACAGAAAGATCTATGAACGATACAGGGTCACCAATGTAAAGGATAAACCCATTAGTTGGGCATAGTGAGTAGCCTATCCAGTAAACGAAGATAGGAGTATCCCAACAGTTCCAAAATAGTAAACAAGAACAAAGTCGTTAGCAGGTAAAAATGCACGTGATTGTTCTTTGTCTCATTCAAAGTTGTGTTAAGTTTCTTAAAGAGCGTGTTGTAATTGATCAAGACAAAGCGGACTTTAATGTCACTACTGGGTCATAGCATAGCATTGTACCAAGAAAACTCACCCAAACGTGTCTGATAACGTTTTTAATGCCCGGCAAGTCGGGTGGGCTATGCACTCAAAGTCTATGATCATGTAATATCGTTCAAATTTCCCAAAATGTTATTTTATCGTGCAGTGACAGGAAAGCAAAATAGACGTACCCCTGTGGGAGCTATCGCCTCCGAGTTAGTCACGGAAGCTGGTAAACGGAGTCACCAGTAGCATATTTGACAGACAGGAATACCCCAGTCGGGAAATATGCTAAAAATTCTGGGAGATCTTATTTTTGTTGCGAAATTGTACTAAAATATGCTTTGTAATGACTTCTATTATGTTGCAAATAGGTTCAGCCAAATATGTTGGCCTAAAGCGGTCTATGACCATTTAGCTACCCATTTGTATAAGGGACCTACGTTGGCCCTCTTCCACTTCGACGGCAACTCTCCTGTCTGCACTGGCAGCACTAATTTAGAAGAAAGCTATATTCCCAGGTCTGCAGATAATTTCGCAAATAGCAATCCGAGAATTTCATCCAATGAAGGAGACTTCTCTGCTTTACATTTACTGAGGACCATTTTAACGTCTTCTACAGAAAATTCACCGATGTCATTTACAGCAGTATCCTAACACATTTCAGACGTTGGATTATATTCGTGGGATCCCACCGTAGACACCGAATGTAAGAGCTAGGCCAGAAGTTGTACCTTCTCCTTCCTAAAAGGAAACGTGTCCCTCTGAATCTTCCTACGGTGCGTGTATCCGTAAACTTGTTAAGACACTCAGCGGCCTCTGCTGCCAGTCACTGTACGAAGGGAGTTCTGACAATCCGCGTTTGCCTGATGCATTAATTGCGTTACTCCTTACATTCTGAGTTATAAGCAGTTGAGCAGAGACTTGATACAAACTTTCCGTATAGGGCGTGGCTTGGACTGGAGTCCTCCGGTGCGACGACTTCCTCCAACTCGCCACTACAACTTACCTCGGGGGAGATCCCTCCAAACTACTTTTGCTTCAAAGTAGACCGAGTGTGAGGAAGTATTTTTTATCCAAACGTGTCGTGGAGCCGTGGAATAACCTGCCGAGAGGATTGTTACGTCTCAATCTGTGGAGACATTTAAATGTCGACTTGACAGACGTGCTGCAGCCACAAGCGGACTATGCTACTTTGTAACCATAAAACCAGTGACCTATGTGAATCAGTGTCTATATTCACCAATTGCTGTAATTTCTTTACATTTTTGCTTATTATCTCGAGGGAGTTCAAAGACGTATATGCTTGCCATAGGGGGAAGTAGTCACGCGCACATGAAAGTCTTCGCAAGTGGGCTTTACGCTCACAAATGCCGCATTTCCGTTTGAACCGCCTTCTAAAGGCTTTGAGACCGTGGTTGCCGGATATCCTAGCTGACGCACGAACTCTGTTGAGCGCGAAAAATTTCTCTGCACCAATCACGGCAATGGGCAGTGGTGCGTAAGTGCATTTGGGACTTGTAGCTCAGCTGAACGGCCACTTGCATACTCTCTCTCTCTGCGTTGTCTAGTAGAAGAAGCACTTATATGCCTAGCCATAGAAGGTCTTCAAATTCAGAGGAAGCCTAAGCGTGAGTTTTGGCTTATGTTAGGTAGAATTGTGGAGCCAATTTTAAGTAAAGTCTTCACTGTTTGTATATACTGCGGTGTCAGGAAGCCTTCGGACGTGCACGCGCTATGCAACCCACCGTTTGACGATTTACTGTCGTTGAATAATGATGGTTTGCGTGTCGATGCGATTGACAAAGCTCTGCACCTCCGTGTGGCTTCCGTCGTATGTGATGCTCCTAATAGGGCTTTCAATAAACATACTAAGAATGTAAAAGCATTGAAAAAAGGTTTTAAAAAGGCACATGACCAACACCAAAGGATAGCCATATTCCATTCCTTTTCTACAATGCGTTAGTTTGCCATTCCTTTGTTTTAACCTAGCAACACTGTTTTCGTCTGCTTACGTTTTGGTTATTTGGGTTGCACGCTTTAATAGATTTCATCCGTAAGCGCTGTAGTTAATGCATCCCTAAACAAGGAACAAAGCATGTGAGTTTGTTCTTGCGATGTAAATCTTGGTTAAATGGAGTCTGTATCTACTTACCGGTGATGCAGGACGCAACGTGTGAAAGTCCGTCAGCCGGGAGTCTGGGCTCTTCTGCTTAGAATTCCGGGGCGCCGCGGGCACGGGCTCATGTCCGTGCTCCGCCTTGAGCGAAGTTACGGCAAGGTAGCCCACCTGGCGATGCATATTGTTGAAGAACGCATCACAGCCCGCGCACCTGTGTAACGCCCCTGGACTTGAACAGAATTGTTTGAATGTGTGACACTTTTCCGCGCGAGGCCCTAGGGTGGAGATGGCGTAACCGCGTGTCAGTTAAGATGGCCGGTGTCCCTTCCTCTCTCATTCGCCGATCCCTTCCCCCTTACCGTACCACGACGCTCGCATCGCTCTCCGTCTCACTACATCGGCACCTCCCTCGGCCCCTCCCTGCAGTTGCCCACAGCGCTGCGTTCCCCACAGGTTTGCTAGCTGGCATGTTGGCGTCGCCTTTCCACCCAGACAGGTTATTTTATGGCTGTAACTCATTCCAGCTGTACCTACGGTCTCGGAGGCCACAGTGTTAGCCACTGCGCTATCGATGAACGGTTTGGCGCTAGTCAGATATGTTTATCAACTACAGAAGAGCAGCTGAAAACGGTTTTTAATTCATTAGCAGTCTCTTGCGATAAAATGCCGCTGGAATCATTAGACTCCAGGGAGATTACGCACAATAGGCTCGAAGAGATAAGACAGGAAATAAGAACCGATGCACTGCCAAGAGGCCTCGAAAACTGTATGACAGACGGGACGGATTCTGCGCTTGTCGGTCGCTGTGTCGGCTGTAAGGAACTTGAGAAGCGGGTCCAGACGCTAGAAGAGAAGCAAGGCCTACTGACGGACATCATCATGGCTATTCTTAAGCACAGTAAGATAGAATTACCAAATAATCCGCCAAATTTCCGATCGATCGGCGACGAACATCCTACTAATAAAGGCGCTAGCGCGGAAAAGTCAAAGCCAGTCAGGAAGAGGAAGCGAGTTATGTCTCCAGAGGAAACTCTAGACAAATCAGTTCCGGTGGATAACGTGGCAGTCGACACTAATGCATTAAAAATAAGTCAGGTTCCATTACCTGCTATAGTAACAAAACCTGCCAAATCATCGAACAATAAAGTTGGGAAAGCCAGCATGACCCTCAGAAGATCTGTTAGGAACTACAAGGACTCGCCGTTATTCTTGGAAGGCAATGCTGTTACTCCACTTCTTCACAAGGCTAACTCATCTGGAAAGTGTCCTAACCATTCCGTTTATGGAAAAGGACACGATAAGCCTTCGTGCAGTACATTGCAACAGGGTAATGATTGTAAGAGCTCCACTGCCGAAGCAAGTACGTCACATGAAAATCCATGCCCTAAACTCCCTTCGCCGGCCGAAAACCATTCAAATGTCGAAGTGACAACAGCCGTCGGGAATACTACAGTAGCATTATATCGTCCTAGCGCGGACGGGACAGTAATGAGCTCTTCCATAAATCGTAAGCAAAATATTGTCATAAGGGGCGCCCCAGAGTCCACGTCCTGCATTCCGAAGGAACGAGTGACGCACGACCTAGACCTTCTCCATCAGTACGCCAGCGCCGTCCTGCAGGATGGGGAAATATTCACCGTTAAAAAAGCTTTCCGACTAGGCAGAGCGGACCCAAATCGTGACCTAGAAAAATCCCCAAGACCCCTGAAAGTTATTTTGGAAAACGAAGCCCAAGCAGCGCTTTTGTTAGAAAGTAGAACGACCTTACGCAATTCGCACAAGGAAGTGTTTTTTCAACCAGACTACGAACCGAGGGAAAGACTGAAAATGAGAGAACAGAGATCAGAATTGAATGAGATAATTGGCAGAGGAGAGAAAGGGCTGAAGATCAAAAATGGACAAATAGTCCAAACAAAGGGGTCTTTCCTGTGGTCAGAACCCGTCACAATGAAGGCCGGGCCTCTCCAACAAATCAGTCATTGAAGGTTATATCCGCAAATGTGCAAAGCCTCTTCAACAAACTAGATGAACTAAGACACTTAGTTGATGAAATTAAGCCAGACATAATGGCATTCACAGAAACGTGGCTTACTGAAGATATCGCAGATTCAGAAATATCACTTAGAGGATATCAGCAATTCAGGAGAGATAGACTAAGCCGAGGAGGAGGAGTCATAATTTATGTCACTCGCAAGCTAAGCGCTATGGCTGATGTACACAGACCGGTACGGGATGTGGAACTGCTAAGCGTTACCATATCTACTAAGAATGTCCGATCATTGACGCTTTCGGTAGTGTACCGTTCACCTAACCATACTTCTGACCAAGATCTCATGCTCATATCCGAACTGTACCAAGCTAGCGAGAAGAAAGAAGTCCTTATCGTTGGGGATTTTAACGCTCCTGGCATTGATTGGCTAACGTGGACTGCACAAGGGCCGCAAGACAGCTTTAATCACAAACTACTACAATGGGCAACGGACAAACTTCTCTGCCAGAATGTTACCTTTGGAACACGGGTCAGGGAAGGGCAGCAGTCGAACTGCCTTGATCTTATTTTTACCCGAGAGGAGGAAAACGTGTTAGACCTGCAGGACCGACAGCCATTAGGGTCAAGCGACCACATCACGCTCTACTTCGAGTACTCACTGTTTTACAAACCCACCCAACCCGAGAGGTGGGAGAGAAACATTTGGAAAGGTGACTATTCTCTCATGAGGAGGGAAGCGGCAGCTATATCATGGGAGACTGAACTGCATGGTCGAGCAAACGATAACTGGAATACTTTCAGTTCCTTACTGAAAGAGATTGTTTATTCCAATTGTCCTCTTAGAAGGAAGACAATCGCAAACCGCCCAAAATGGATAAACCCCGACTTGAAGGCCTCTTTCAGAAAAAGAAATCGTCTGTGGAGGCGTTACAGACAAACTGGCTCCGACGAACACTTACAGGAATATAAGCGGCAACGAAACGTCTGTAAAAGTGAGGCCTCAAAGCTGCGAAAGAAGTTTGAACTGAACATACTCCGAAATTCGTTGGTGCATCCGAAAATTCTATATGGTTATATACGAAGTACTAAAAGGACTCAGGAGCTCATCCCTGCCCTCAGGTCTGCAGATGGAAAAGTGGAGATTGATGACCAGGTTAAAGCGTCCCTCCTTTCCGATTTCTTTCAGTCCGTCTTCACCCGAGAACCTAGTGCTATATTTGCCCATCCATCCATTCGCCAAACAACCTCTCCTCCCAGTACCCTTCCCCATCCTATCCCCTCCCTACCCTCCTTAACCGAGGAACCACTCTTTTCATCTACTGTAGTTAGGTCCGAGCTACTCCGGCTGAAACCTGCCAAATCGCCTGGCCCGGATAGAATTCCCGCCCGAGCACTTCGCGAACTTGCTAATGAACTGTGTAAACCCTTATCCGCAATATTTCAAAAGTCATTTGAAGACGGCGAGCTACCGGAAGAATGGAAGTGCGCACTGATTACTCCGATCCATAAAGGAGGCTGAAGACTTGACTGCGGAAATTATCGTCCTGTCAGTCTTACTTGCATCGCGTGTAAAATAATGGAACGTATTATCAAAAGACACTTGATGAAATACCTGGAACAGAACAAAATATTGTGCGATGCCCAACACGGCTTTCGTCCAGGGCGCTCCTGCTTAACGAGTGTTCTTTACTCACACGAGAAATGGACACGATCTACCGATAAGGGTTTTCCAGTAGATGTCATATTTTTTGACTTCAAGAAGGCCTTTGACAGTGTCCCACACAGGCTTCTTTTGCAAAAGATCTGGGATGTAGGGATTCAAGGGAGAATGTTCAAGTGGATCAGGAGTTTTCTGTCCTCCAGACTACAAAGAGTCGTCGTTAGTAATTCTACCTCGGAATGGGTAAAGGTGGAAAGTGGTGTCCCACAGGGTTCTGTCTTAGGCCCAGTACTCTTCCTGATTTATGTTAATGACTGTATCAGCGAAGTGAATTGCGAGGCTCTCATGTTCGCGGATGACATAAAAATATGGAGTGAAGTCAAGTGTGATGATGACGCAGAGAAGTTGCAGTCGAACATCAACAAACTGTGTGCTTGGTCGAACAGATGGCTTTTGAAGTTTAACGTGTCCAAATGCGTGGTTTTGCACCTGAACACCGGCCGCAATGCCTCTCCCAAACACCAGTACTATATTGACGGGACGAGGTTAGAAACTGTGGAAAGACACAGAGATCTGGGTGTATGGACGACCACAAATATATCGCCATCAGAACACTGCAGAAAGATGGTCCAGAAGGCAACTAGTACTCTACACTGGATCAGACGTGCATTTAAAATATTTCCTCCTGAACTCTTCGAAAGACTCTTTTGTGTCTTTGTAAGACCTCATCTAGAGTATGGAATGCCAGCAGCTTCACCATGGATGAGGAAGGATATCAACTTACTCGAACAGGTGCAACGCAGAGCGACAAAGATGGTCGACGGTCTAAAGCATTTGTCTTATCAGGAGAGGCTAAATTTGCTTGGCCTATTCCCTCTCTCTTATAGACAAATAAACTGCAGTCTACTCTGGACGTTCCGGATTGTTCGCGGCCAGGGTTGCTCATTAAGGGCAGAGGGCTTCTTTGAGTTCGCCCGTACAAACCAACTACGCGGCCATGCATTCAAAGTCGAGAATGAGCGAACACGTTTAGACCGGCGAAAATTTTCTTTCAGCCAGCGGGTTGTCAGGCCGTGGAACTCGCTTCCAAGCGAGATGGTGACGGCTGACACAGTTTGTGTGTTTAAAAGAAAACTTGCTCGTCTAGTCTTCGACAGAAATCGGCTTGTACAGCATGACTATGCACAGCCGGTTTTGTAAAATCTGTCATATACAATCTCCCGCACTAATTTACAGTGACCCCATGCACTACCTTATGATTACGATTGAACTGTGACCCAATCACATTTTTAATGCCTGCAATTTTATTTTATTTTTGAGTATGAATCTGCGAAAGCACTGTACATAAATAGGGTCATCAAGGGCTCTGCCTGTAACCCTTCAATATACATACATATACATGAGTTACTATTATCATTATACGTGTTTCCCATGACCGTCTTGTTATACTGTACCGTATCCCATTCCTGACGTACCATCTTATGCTGTGTGTGAATGAGTATTCAGAGATGCCAACGACTCTGTTCAGAT